TTATGTATTAGCAATTGGCCATTGCCCATAAGTCAATCAAATATAATGCCAAACTTGTGAATAGAAATTTGTTGACTCGGATGTCCATGCTAGTCTTCTGTTCAACCAGAAAGTTCATTTCAGTTATCACCTTATTCACCGACCTGTATAAAAGTGAGTATTCATCTATTCATTCCTATATAGGTTTAAAATAAAAATAATATCAAGAATCAAAGTTCTGAAATGTTTGATCGCTCGTTGAGACGTCGTCAGTCACAAAAATTGTGTTACAATATGCCCAACACTCTTCATCGATCCAAAAAGCAATGATATCTTATAAGCATTGTATTTATATAATTTAAACTAAGATCAATATCAATCTGGATGGCCTATTTACAGTAACATTTGATACCATGTAGGCAGGAGTGTATTTACGAGGGCGGATATGAGAACAAATCCTCCCCCATGGCTATTTAAATACATATGTATTATTATGAACATATACAAAATTACTGTAGATACTTATAATTTGAATTTTGATTAGGAACATTACATGAAAACAAATGTTTATTGGTATAATAATAGGTTATATGCAGTGGCGTATCCAGGGGGGGGGGTTAGAGGGTTTCAACGCCCCCCTAAAATTGTTAAATTATTACAACGTTATCATTAATAAATCATTTTCAGATAAAATTCGACAAAAAAAAAAATTATAAATGTTAAATATTATAAAGAAGAATTCCACAGTATTAAGTTATTTATAATTTTAAGCATGCAACACTAAAACACAGGCATTCACATATAAGATTCACCTCTAAATCAAGACTATTCTTTCTTATTCCTTCTGCAGGAAATCGTCGGTTTAACAAATCAAAGATTTTATTCATCATCAGTGTAAATTTTACTGTCTCATCAGAATCTTCAAATCCTACATAATTTTTACTTTTATACAATTCAATACCTACAGCCACCGACGCACTGAACAGCTAAAATAAATAATTCAAGTAAAACAATAATAGTTTTTATTTTGAACTTTAATTTCATTTATAATTAATAAAAAAAATCCAACTTATTTTCTTTAGTTACCTGCACAGCATATTTAACTTTCATTTTGCTTAAACTATTCAAATCAAAATGTTGCTTGGTCAATTTTGGGCAAACCTTGGTCAGTGAATTTTCTTCAGTTTTATAAACTGAATAATAATGATTCCACTTTATGTATGATTTTGATGGATGGATCTATAGTAAAAATGAAAATTAATTATATAAACAATATAATTCTCAACCATTACTAAATAACACTCACCCTCAGTTGTTTTTTCTGATGTAAACGATTTCGAATAGTTTTCATTAAATGTGGATCATCAGAAAAAACAAAAATATTTCTATTGAAATCAAAAGGATTTTCAAAATAGTTTTTGAAATCTTCCTCTTTAACACTGATTCCCAGTTCTTTCCATAAAGTACGGTTAGTAGTTGCCCCATCACAAGTCAAGCCCACAACTTTCGCTCCTGCGTTTTCCAGCAACATTATTGCTTTAATAACAATTTTTGCAAGGTCTACACCTACAACAGCAAACATTAATAAATTAATAAAAATAAAATACAATATTATTTTAGATTTCTGTCATTAATGTAATTACTAATCACTAATTTGTTGATACCTTTTACTGGACCTTTGGATGCGAAAACAGCTATGGGTTCGGTAAAATTATCGGCTAAGCTCTGTCACATTAAAACCAATCCATGGTTGGCTTTTTCTGAGCTTTTTATTTTATTTTCTATTTCTTTACCATAGTCTTCTAGCCCAGTATATGTTAAAGTACGACTGTTAACACTTAAGCTTTCTCCTAGAAAAACTTCATCAAATAACAGAACACCTATTTTCTGTTTTTCGGTTTTGGTGGTGAATTTTTTTTTTAATAGTTTGAAAAAGTTTAAGTCAAAACCACAACCAACTTGAACTGCTAATAGATTTCTTCGAACTGTGTTAACACATGGCAATGGAAGTATATTATTATCCCTCAAAAACTTGTAACCACTAGGAGATCTAAATTAAATAGCATAAAACAAGAAAAAATATAACTATAAATTATAATACTATTGCTTATTTTAGATTCTGAGCGGAGCGATGAATGTATTGGTTTTACAATGATGTATGTTTTTATATTTTTATATTTTTATATTTTTATATTTTTGTGTCTGTCATCACGTTTTGGGACAGTAAAAGTGCTTCGATTTTCTTCAATAGTACCTTTTCTGATAGGAAAGTGAATCTAGTTGGTACTTTGGGGGGTCCATATATATATATATATATTTTCCAGTAGTTTTCACAAGCGCCGGGAAAAACAACATTTTCACAGCAATTTCACTGAATGTTTATATTAGCATTTCCTATACACCATACAATTTTGAAAATATTTTGACTCTTTTTGAGCTGTTTATGGACATTTACAGCTTTCAATTTTTTTTAGTTTTTTTTTCTATAAATATCAATAAAGTTTTATCTGTTGGGCCAAAAAGTGTAAAAATTTAATACAAGGCTCCTGATATATTGTTACAATATCAGTTGAAAAATATTAAAAATACATAGGCACGATTTTTTTTTATAAGCATTTAAAGTTGGAATTTTGACAAAATTTATCAAAATCTCGAAAATTATCAATCGTTGGAATTAAAAAATTATAAAATGTTCAGTTTTTATAACTAAGAGTTGAAAATTTAAAACAAAGATTCTCTTAAATAATTCATACTGTAACCAAAAAATCTAAAAAATATATAAACACACTTATTTTTTACAGACATTTTAATTTCAAATTTAGACAAAATTTCATATTTAAACCAAGAATTACGATTTTAGTTATTTTGTTGTAATCGTATAATGTGCCCAAAACCTGTTTTTGGTCTCTCAACAATCCCCTCTGATGATTTCTCACTCTATGCGCTGTCCATTAGTTTATAGGTCTATGCTCTATGGTATAACATAGAATATTAGAATAGGTACTATATAATATTCTATGGTATAATGGACATGGATTTTGTATAATAAATGAAATGTTTTGCTATCCGACCAAGGTTTATCAGCTTCATTTTTACAATGTACTATGACGTACATAACATAATGTAGAAGTTATCTACTGTAGTATAGAAGTCTGTGTAAATTATGGACCACATTTTACAATAATCATAGAATATAAATAGGTATGACCACGAATTAAAATATACTGGATACCCAACGACCTATATGAACAACTATTTTTCTTGGACCCAAACTGACTTGTCAGAACAGCTGTTGCAAACTACACCTAGCGCTTGTTATCATATTTGTGGCAACTTTTACAAAATAATTTACCGCCAAATTTGTAAATATTTGGAATTAAATAAATTACCATGACAAAATAGATTCGTCAATTCGTCATGTTAATTACTATCATTGGACATTATTTAGAACCAAGAATTAAAATAGATGTTTATCTTAATTCGTGTTTATAACTGTAATAGATTTCCCATCTTGGCCATTTTTCATTAATTCAAAATATTTTTTTGTTGGAGCATGATTACGCAGACTCTACAGTTTTTGACTGTGTTGTTTATTTTATGGCTGGGTAAAATATTTTATGAATTAGGTAATAGCATTAATTAAATAACACTATTATTTACCTTATTTACCTACTTCAAATAGGTACATTGCTAAACGATTGGTAAAGAGTACTAAGTGCCAGTTATGTATAGTAAGTATAAAAAGGTGGGCAAGTGGGTGTCGCTCTGCTGTACAGTAGGTTACAAGTGGGTCACTGTATAATGGATGGTATTAAATTTGAATTCAATGATATAATATCATTGTATAAGAAAAACGATTCTGAGCGGTGACGGTATGTCAGTCTATGTATAAGACATATTAATATATTATATACATATCTATGGTATTAAACAAAAAATTGACCTATAATAGGTACCTATAATAAATTCCAAATTAATCATATCACAATATCCATTAGATACTTATAACACGTTATACATCAACAAAAACCGTGATACTATCATAGATATATAATAGTACACTTTAGAAGTTTCAAGTACCCATGAATAATATTATTCAATCACAACAAAATAACTAAAATAGTTATTCTAGGTTTTAGATTCTGAGTGAAACGATGAATGTATTGATTTTACAATGATGTGTGTTTTTTTATTTTTTTATTTTTTATTTTTTTTGTATCTGTGTACACGATACGTAGTCGAAATAATGCTTCGATTGTCGACTTCAGTATCTTGTTCGATTGGAAAGTGAATATCGTTGGTGCATTGGGGAGGTCAAAATTTAAATTTCCCAGTAGTTTTCACAAGCGCCGGGAAAAACAACATAAAAATTAAGGAAAAACGGGAATTTTTACGCAAAATTGATTTTCCAAAAATCGATTTTGGTTATTGGTGTAACTCTAAAACAAATGAAAGTATATACATGAAATTTTCACTGGTTGTTTATATTTGCATTTTCTATACACGATAACATTTTCAAAATATTTTGATTTATTTTGAACTGTTTAGGGACATTTTCATTTTCCATTTTTTTTTAGTTTTTTTTCTAAAAATTTCAATAAAATTTTATTTGTTGGTTGCGAAAGCTTGAAAATTTAATAGAAGGCTCCTAATATGTTGTTTCAAAGGCAGATGAAAAATATTAAAAATCCTTAGTCACAATTTTTTTTTATAAGCATTTAAAGTTCAAAAATTGACAAAATATGGAAAAATCACGAAAATTAGCAAATTATTTTGAGTTAAGAATTCGTAAAAATTTTTCTTTTTAAATCTAAGATTTGAAAATCTAATACAAGATTACTCATAAGATTGTCTACCTTTATCAATAAAAAAATTATAAAAACAATTGTATTGTAGCGTCCTCTTAAGTTATATCAACATGAATAATAAATAATTTAACTTATTGTATGTTTTTTTTCCAGCTGCTGTAATTTTGCTGCCCACTATTCAATTCAAATTATCCTTTATGTTAAATCTGTGTTATGGGTTTCTTCAATTCATTAAGGAACATAAAAAAATGGTTCACTGACAAGGCTGGATTTTCTGGACATAAAGGACCAACAAAACGTAAACATGAAGACTGTGAACATATAAACAATAAAAGAGTTCGCATGGATGATAGCCTTGTAGAAATTGTTGAAATCAGCGATGAATCACTATCTGAAACCGATGAGGTGGAAATCACTGAACCTGGGCCATCCACTGTACCACTCAGAGCCAGTCCACCTGTTATGCTCATTGAGGGTAGACAACATGCAAGGAGAACTATTTCACCAGTTAGGACAATAAATCTAAATGAAAGTAACGATGATGATGTCCAAATAAAATTAATTCGATCATATAGTTTATCAAATCCACAACTTAAAAATAACCGGAATGCTAGTACCAAGGCTATCCGAGAAGAAAGATCTTCAATTAGAGGTAAAAAAAAATGTTATATATGAATTTTATATTATTTTATTAATTATTAATAACATTTTAATCCACAGGAACAAAACAATTAAGTTTGAGTATGGAAGGTGGATTTTCTGCATTAAAAATTAATGACACATCAAATAACGCTGACCCAAATAAATCATTTGCAATGGTTTTAAAACATTATGTGGCGCCAAAACCAGAAACTAACATTTTATTAGATTCTAGTTCTAGATCACCAATGTGTAATCATAAAGAAAATATTTTAAATCAATCCAAATTATCTCAAACATCTGGTAAAGAAAATTTAGACATTCCTGAATTAAGTCTTCATAAGAATAGAATTATCAAGAAAGAGTTGTTTTATGAACGTATATTAAGAAAGTTTAAGGAGAAACAAGCAGCTGCCATTTTATCTTCTGCTCCAACAACCCAACAAAAATCACCCGACGATATTTTCCAAGAAAAATTAGAAATTATGAAAAAAGAATTAGACAAAATTGAACCACAAAAGAAAAATGAAGTTTTTCCTGGTTATTCTAAAGAAATAGTTGAATCGGTTGCACATCAAATGTCTAGTTCGTTAAATGAGTACATTGTTCAAGGGAAAAATATTAAAAAAATGGATTTAAAAACAATTTATATATCTTCTGCTTGGTTAAATGATGAAGTTATAAATCATTATTTTGGTATGATTGTTGACCGTGATCCAACTAACATTCACACATTTGATACATTCTTTTATTCTAAATTATCGTAAGTTATATAATTTATAATTCAGTATTCACTAATATTTAACTTGTTTTTTACTTATATATTAATTATTTGTATAGATCACAAGGATATCAATCTGTTCGTCGTTGGTCAAGAAAAAAAGATATTTTTGCATGTAAAAAAATGTTCAGTCCTATTCATCTGGGTAACCATTGGTGTCTTATATGTGTAAACTTCATTGAAAAAACCGTAAAATATTACGATAGTTTAGGTGGTAAAAATCCTAATTGTTTAAATATAATATTTGACTATCTAAAACAAGAGTATGCGAATAAGAAGAATGAGGAATTTGACTGTAGTGGATGGCAAATAATGGATGCTGAGGATTGTCCAAAACAAAAAAATGGTTATGATTGCGGGGTGTTTACTTGTGTCAATGCAGAGTACCTATCTCGTGATGCAAAACTAGATTTTGTACAAGATGATATGCCTAAATTAAGAATAAGGATATGTTATGAGATCTTAAACAATCGTTTATGTTATTCAAATTAAACTAAATCATTTGTTTCCTATAATATTGAGTTAATTATATTCTTATTTTTTCAAGTTCTATAGAGTATTACATAATATGTTGGTGAATATAATTAAGATTGACAAGAGGAATAATATTCCTTAATTGTCTAATTAGATTTCATAGTTTCAATAAAAATGTTAGCCCAAATATGAAAAAATATTTTGTTAATACTGAATTTATGTATGTAATTATATATTAAAACAATTATACCATGAAATTGAACTAACTTCCTATTATGTAGTAATTCATGCTAACATTTAACTGAATAAAATTAGAAATACTGTTCATGAATCTTCAAAATCAAAGTTAAAATTATTACTTGAGGCATACAATTAATTAATTTAAAGGCTGAATAATTCAATAAATATAAAGTAGTGTTAATATTGTATTTAAATATTATGATTTTATATATTATTATGTTTAAGATCTTATTTTCATTTCAGTATAGAATTTTTTTATTATTTGAACGTTAATTCATAAAATTCATCTATTTATTGAATACAATTTATCTATTTTAATACCTTAATTTAACAATATTGCACCAAGTATTTGGTATTTTCATCAAATTGTTAATACCTTTATAAAACATTCAAAATTGTTTAAATTGTATTTTTAAGTAAGTTTTACATTATAATTGTGAAATAGTACAAAATTTAAAAATTTTTATAAAAAGTAGTAAATAGGTAATGTAAATAAATTTATAATTTATATCTCACAATTTTACTTAATATAAGTATAGATTGTCTTTTTTTAATATATTGTTGACTAAATTGGTATTGTGTTAATTATATTTATTCTTAAAACAATTGAATTATTAAAAGGCATTGTTACATAATGTATTGTAGCTTTTCTTCAAGTTCCTAGTAAAAAACTTATTCCTTTTTTTTTTATATAATTTTATAAGTTATTATTTTATTATTATCAATACAATTGGCATGTTTTATTTATATGTATTATGAAAAAATATTGTGCAATTTCCAATTGTTTAATTAATTTTCGCCTATCACCAACTTATGAGGAACCTTGTATTACATTTTCAAGCTTTTTAACAGAGTAAAAAATAATTTATCAACAATAATATTTTTAAAAACCACTTAATAAAAATCGAAATTTTCTTATTCCTATAAATAGCTCAAAAACTAAAGAGTAAATATTTTGAAATTTTATCATGTATAGTCATTAGTCGTATAGAGAAAATGCTGGTATAAATATTCAGAGATAATGTATTTACGGTAATTTTTTTAGAGATATCAAAAAACAAAATCAATTCTTTTGCAAACTGGTTTTCTGACTTTTTGAAGACTACTGGGAATTTTTTGTTTTTGATCGCTCCCCTGGGAATCTTAAACATTATGAATTAATATACTTATTACTTAGTATTATATATGCTGAAAGACGTCTTCGCTCAGAATCGTATTTTGTATGCAATGGCCAATGATTTATCATTAAATTTAAATGTAATATATTAATATACATTGCAGAATACAGTGTTACTCTATGGCACGGTATACCCTATAACTGTACAGTGGTTACCTACTATTCAGGGGCGTAATTAGTGGGGGTGATTAGGGGATAGATCCCCAAAACTTTTATTTTACTCCTAACATTTTGATCAAAGTATATTGATAATGAATATTTATGTTTGCTAAAAACGTATATCACCCCCCAAACCAAATTCCTAATTACGCCATCGCTACTATACCCCTTTTTTTCCTTACCTGAAAAAAAAATACGACATTTTGAAACATCTTAGGTAGGTACCTACTACCTAGGTTGTTGGTCACTGAGCAGTCTGCACTATTCGGTTCTGGGTTTACTGACTTAAGAGTTAAGGGTGGTGGCATCGGTGGAGGTGCATCACTGTTTATGGCCAAAACATACTTTCTTGAAAGTAAGGTGGTAAAAAACTTAATTGTTCCTCAAATTTATACTTAGGATTTTTTTTAGCTGCCTGACCAGAAGTAGCTTTTTTTTATTAGTAATTTTACGATATTGGTGTCGAATTTTTACCCATCTTGCTTTACAAGCTAAACATTTTTTGTTTATTATTTATTAGACTTATGCCTGAATTTTAAAATCTCACATTAGGTACAATCAGTGGTGTCATTTCAGTTTTTATTAGACTAGAGCAACTTTTCACTGCTTTTCCGACTCAACTTTTTTTTCACTCAGTTTCTCATAGCAATGTGCCATAGTGTTCAAGCCTTATAGGAGAGGGGGGTGGTGGTGTTGCTAAATGTGCCGACTTGAGGTTGATGTAAATACTAGACTGGGGCACAAGCCCCAGTTGCCTCCCCCCCAAATGACGGCACTGGGTACAATATTTACTAGTAAAAAAATACACATCGTAAAATCCATAGGTTGGCATTAACTAGTTTCATTTTTTTTTAACTTTTTAACTTAACTAGTCTGCAGTAACTTATGAACTTAACTAAATTAATTGAAAGCTTAAATAACCTAATTGTCCTCAGTTTATTTAAAAATTAAAAAAATAACCCATCAAGTTAAACAATTCTGTGATAACATCTCGTTTTGGAGAAAAACTTACACAGATCTTAATCCTAATATTGTTATTGTTATAGCTCATTCGTGGATATTTGAAAAACACACAGATCTAACATCATTTTGTATATATAGTAATTGATAAGGTTGGAATATCAACTATATAACGGCTTTAGATAGAAGCACAGAATAGATTAATCAAGTAGTAACAACTAACATAACAATCATCAAGTCAACATTAATACTCAGTAGTCAATAATTATAATATTATTTAATTGCGAATATCTACTGAATTTACAATTTAATATTTACACTGTATTATTATACTCCTGTTGTGGGTGTTTTGATTTTAAATCGCCAATGGTCAATGTGAAAATTGGTAACGTTGATGAGGGATGAGACTTAATATTATGCTGGCATAAGCAACTGGCAGGGTACTGGACAGTAGTGAATACATTTATAATAGTCAATGATTATTTCATTATGTTAATACAATTTAAAATTTTGCAGGTATCTGTTATGTGAATAAAGTAACGGAAAAACTATCCAAACATAGTAAAAATTGAGTTTATATACTATCACATCCTGTTGTCCCACAAGTGACTAATTCAGTGAGTTAACATTTATATATCTTATTTTACCCACATTATGTATCTATACTAAAATATAAACAAGAAAAGGAGCACATTTTATGATATTAAAGTCAGTGGGCCCGTTAAAAGTATATTCAATAATAATACAGTTTCAAATTAATTGACCACTATTACTCAAAGGTTGTTGTAAATCAATTATCGATAACTATTTCATGTTAAGGAAAAAGGAATTTTCCGTTTATATATTGTCTTTAAGTTTAAAGTAAGGTAGGTATTGAAGTTAATAAACTAGTTTTTAATTTAAAAATATGAATGTTATTTTTCTCTATTATTTAAAACTTAAAAATATGTTTAAAATATGTAAGGGAAAAATAACTAAAACAAACTTAATATAGATATTCTTCTCTTTTTTAATGTATGAAATATGAATACAATCTACTTTAGCAGGTCGATTAAGCTTGGCATTTTCCTTAAATGGTATTGTAAAAAGTAAATTTGTTTTTCGTGTGTATAATTTACAGATACATTGATTTTATAATATACAGTTCATTATAAGATCAGTGATACAGATAATAAATCTTGTTAAGGCTTGTATTCTCTTTTGACTTGTGCTGTATGTGTTTTTAGATAATACAAAATTTAAACAAACCTACTAACAAGATGGATAAGACCAACATTAAACAACAGTTGAAACTTGCAAAAGAAGAATTTATGAGAAAAAACTTTTCTGATGCAGCAAAAATGTGCAAAACAATCTTAAAGAACGATCCGAAGAATATTTCTGGTTTGATTCTTTATGGCGCCAGTCTTCTAGAAATGCCATCGAAAAAAGATGAATCCATTGAACAGTTCCAAAAAGTCATTGACTTTTCTCCTAATAATTTATTTGCTTGGCAAGGCATTGAGCAGTACTACGAGAAATGTGATAAGCTTACAGTTTCTCAACAGTTATTCTACACATATGCAAATTTATTGAGTTTAGAAACCGATGGGACCAAGTGTAAAACACGTGCTAAAAAATGTATTGAACTTTGGAAAAATTATAAAACAAAGCTGGATTTAGGAATTTTTGTCACAACTGTCTTACCAACAGTTGAAAAGGAAGAAATAACACCACAGTTCTTGGCTATATGTAGAGTCTTAGCAGAGTTTCCATTCACAGAAGACACTTCTCCCTTAGATGAACATTTAGAAAAAATTTATCTAGCATTGTGTGAAGATGATAGTTTTGATCAAAGATTTGAAATTTATTGCAAACTAATTCCTGTACTAAAATCCAAAGGAAAAAGGCAACAACTTGTAGCCATATGTGAAAAAATGTTATCCTTATATAATAACAATGCTATTGCAATAAATTATTTCTGTGAATCATTCATCAGCAATTATATTAAGACAATAACTGAACCTGAAGATGACATACTGAAATTAATTGACAAAATGAGTTCATCAATTATGGAAAGATGTGAAGTATTACTACTGGCACAACCAACAAATCCAAATTCAATAATAGCCAAAAGCATTGCTTTGAGAAGATTAAACGAATTTGAAGAAAGTCGTAAATTGTTACGTAAAGTTCTTCAAGTTACCAGTCGTTCATGGCAATCGTGGTTTTTACTAACAGAAATTCAAATCAATATTCATTGTTATGATGATGTAATACGATGTGTTCAACAAGCGAAAAAAATTTTGAAACCAACATTTTCCTGTTATCAGACTATGCTTATGTGGGAAATTGAAGCTTATTGTTGTTCTCGGCTATGCTGTACTGTAGAAGGACGTCAGTTGGCTATTGATATGTTTAATGAGAATTCAAATAATAAACTAATTGAGTATATTATCGTAGCTAGTTGTAATTTAAACGATCAAAAAACGGCAAAAAACTATTTAAATACATTACAAAATAAATGTGATAGAGATGATAGATTTATCTTTTTAGAAGCATTATATTTTAGTGAATTTGGGCAACTTGATGAAGCTTTACATTCTTTAAAAAGCATTAATAACTTATCAGCTGATGCAGATGCATTGCTACTATTCGGTAATGTATTGTGGAAACAACGAAAATTTTCTGAGGCTGGAAAGTTATACTTGGAAGCTTCTCGGATTTCTCCTTATAGATGTGACTTAATTACAAAATTAGGACATTATTACAGAGAAATAAAACATTTACCTGTTGCCATGAATTGCTATGAAAAATCTGTTGTCCTCAATCCTGATGATGAAGAAAATGGTCTCGCCTTATCAGATATATACCATACTTTATCAAAGTCAAAAGAACAAGAAGCGTTGTTAAATTATCTGAAAACATCAAAAAATATCAAGTGGGCTTCTTTAAGATTAGGTGTTCACTATTTGAAAATAAAAAAATATGAAGATGCTGTTGACAACTTTCAAATTGCTACTAAACATGATCCAAATAATGCAAGCTATTATGAATGTCTAGGCGATGCTCTTTTAGGACGAGAATCACTGATTGGTGCAAAACTTACATACTCTAAATGTATAGAAATTGATCCATCTCTGTTATATCCAAAACTACAAATAGCTAAAATTGAATATCGTATTGGTCAAGTGGATTCTAGTATTCAATTATTTTACAAAATTGTAAACTCTTATTCGAATGATTTTATTGCATTATTTGATACTGCAAAAATGTTTATAGAACATGCCAAGTCAATTTTTGTTTGTCAGGTACAAACAAGCTATGATTTATGTAAAAATGCTTGTGAATACTTGTACAAGGCATTGTTGATAGATAATCGATATGCACTGCTTTGGAAATTGTTTGGAGATTTATGTCTATTCATGGCGGCAATGCCCAAAGAACTATCTTTTATATATTTACCATCTAATATATTTAACAAAAGCCAAGAAAATTATGAGGTGAGAGGTTTACAACTCTATACTTTTTCTAGGAGATGTTATTCACAAGCATTAAATATAACATCTAAAAAAATGTCGTTAAATCCTGCACAAAAATATATTTGGTACGATTTAGCCAAATGTTATTTGGCAAATGCATTAAACACAGATATTGATAAAAATGAACGAATAGAATTTAAATCCAAAGCAGAATTGGCTATTAAAAAATGCTTATCATTAGATCCAAAAAACAAAGATTTTTGGAACACTATGGGAATCATTGAGGCTATTGAAGAGATCAAAAACGAACATCTGAGTTATAACTGTTTTGTTAAATCTTTGGAAATTGAAATAAATGCTATTGCTTATAATAATTTGGCCATCAAATGTTTGATTCACAATGATGTAAATCTTGCCCAGGAAGCTTTTACTTTGAGTCAACATATTGAACCAACTCTTATAAATAGTTGGGTTGGGCAAGGTTTACTGACTAGATTTGAAAATCCTGTAATGTCCTCTGACTTGTTTTATCATTCAACCACATTAGGATTTCACGAAGAGAGCATTTGTAATTATACTGAAGCAAATATACAACATAATATTAAAGCTGATACAGAAGTATTAACACCAAGTCATCAAATTCATCATAATATTGATTTACTTATTTGGCTTACATCTAAAAATCCCACAAATAGTTGGGCACAGAATGCACTGTCAATATTGTACAGATACTCTGGTTTGTATAAAAATGCTATTAAAGCTGCCGAAAAGGCTGAACAATATTGTACGCCTGAAACACAAATAGGCATGCAAAGGAACATGGCTATTAGTCTTCTTAAAGGAAAATGTTATCAAGAAGCCATAGTCAAATACCAACAAATTAAATCAATGAATTTATATGATAAGTTTGGAATTGCATTAGCATTTTATAAGACTGGTCAGTACCAAGAAGCATATGCTACTTATGAATCGTTGACTGAAAATAAATCTGATATGAATATTGTGTCAATGGCTTTCCTTGCTATGGCTGCAATAGCTTTTAGTAACCACGAAGACTACGATAAAGCCACAACATTGTTCTTGAAAAGTATACAAAGTAACACAGCTAACATACAGGCACTATTGGCAACATTTGCACTGGGAATCGTAACTCGTAAAAGTAGTCTGTCTAGAACTATCTTGCAAGAATTGATATCGCATAAGAATGATCCTTTATTCTTCAAAGATATTATTCGATTCGAAACATATTTCTACTACTTGAACCGTCAACCAAATATATCGTTGAAATTAATCAGCCGTTGTGTTCACATTCACCCTGATAACGCTCATTTATGGGTAAACTTGGGTTTCATATTATTGAATTACTATATGGCCAATGAGTCCCAACGCAAAAGAGGACTAGGTTCTCATATTTTTACATGTGCTACAGTTATCAGCAATAAAACGTGGGAACTCAAAAATGCATTAGTTCTGACTACCATTTGCAACCTGTTTGAAGGAGAATTGAAAACGTGCCTGCGAAACGTTTTGAAGGCAATTCATTTGTACCCTACGTCATCTGAACTTTGGACAGTTTTGTTGAATACCATATACTGCCGGGGTGACATTGAAGATGCAGAGTTAATGAAAAGTCATATAAAATTTGTTGTAAACAATTTAAATCCTAATGAAATTTTAAAATGTAATCTTTTAAAACTAGAAACTCATATTCCATAATATTGATATTATATGTAAATTTGGTTTATTAATTCATACAACTTATAATTACAATGTTTAATAAATCAAGTTTATAATTTTTATATATAATATATTCTTATATATACTATTATAAAAAAATATAAGGATATGTCCTATAATTATTTTTGATTAAATTGACTTGAAATTTTTTTTCTCAAATATTTAAAACATTGTCATGTATTTAATATTTAATATCTGTCCTGACTGTCCTTATAGATTGGATTTTGGAAAGTGAAAATATTCAATTGAATATAATTTGCAGTGCTCCATCATTCGATCATTAAAACTTTGCAAGTTATAACAAAGTTGTTCAGTTAATTTGAGTTGTACTTATATAAATTACAATAACAAACAAATGTAATTTAAAATTCTCATAATTTTTTTGTATATTTGATGTACTATGAAATGTTTAGAGAACTGTGAAAATCCTTCTTTGATTCATTGAATTTAGTTGAATAATAAAATTTGAAGGTTACTCTCTTAACCTAGTCACAATATGTCAATACAAACTTTTCTGATAAATTAATTTAATTTTAGAATAGAAAATATAAACATATCAAGACAATAGGATTATACTCACTATTATAAAAAAATAGCAATTAATAAACCGTTTTTTTCATTAGTTGCACTATAATCTATCAAATATCAATTGTAATTTATAATAGATTTAAAGATGGTTGCACTAGGTATAAAGAGAATGCCAGATAAACCTAGTAACATATTATATCTACTACGGTTAAAATCCGTTTATCGTAAATTTATAAAATAAAAAAATTATATAAGCAACATAAAATCAAAGTTAGTTCTTATAATAATAGCGTTAGCCCCCCCCCCCCAAACCTATAGGACATACAATTTTAAAATGCTATATTGCAATTGCTTGCCTTTAATATATTCAGCCCCCCCAAGTCAAAAGTTGAAATTGCGTCTATGGTTATATTGATGTATATATATATTATTATGTAATATATTATAATTTACTGTATAGGTAAATAAGTACATGACATCATATAATTATAATTTAAAAACGAGTATGTTTTCATCCTGTTTCAGACAATATATACTACCTATGTTAAAATATATGTTAGATCGCTGATAATATACAATATGCCCAACACATAATTCAGAGAGTATTCATAAGTCTTCGATTCGGAGTCAGCTGAACTACCTAGTTCATTAAAATTTAGACTATTTATGGAAACCTGGGGTAATTGGACATTTAGTAAGGAAAACGAAGATTTGTTGGCCGGAGTGTTGAACAAATTTGGCTCGGAACAATGTAGCTTAGATACACCGAAAAAAGTCTTTTTGTCGTCCTTGGCCGCTTCGTCGAAAGTATGTACCTATTATATCTCAATGAATTACCTAATATATAATATGTATAGATAAACATAATATAATATTTATATTATACAGTGATATTGCCAACGAAGGGCTTTTCAATTTTCAGATTAAATTTACTAAAATGATTTTATATTTAATTTATTGTGAACATTTTCGTACACATTACCAGGTATACATATTACATGTTTATTTATATATATTATGTAGACTGTGCGGGTTGAAATATCCAGTTCGAGCAGCGATGACAGTGATATTGACGGAGACTTTAACTCCGTTCAGACGTGTTTTCCGAAATCCAACGCAGACGCGTCGAATGTAGAATCTAAACCTACAGCGGCTGTGGTCGACGACTCGGAGCTTCAGCCTGCCTGCATCGGTGCCGCCTTGGGTAATTTTAACGACGAATCTTCCTTCCTGCCAAGTCAACCGCAAGGTAAGTTTATACAACTGGCCACGGTATATCCACGATCTAGTATCTACCTAATTATAATATGTTTAATGTGTACCTACCAATGTAAAATATGATTATAATGTCAATACACTTTCAAAACACATAATATAATATCTATTATACCTCTCGTATTAGTCTTATTTATCCGAGAGATGTTTAGTACCTAACTAATCGACAGTCGACGGTACCTATATAGCCCTGTCCTATAATCACTAAAACTATGTAGAAAACTAATAAACCTCCGATGTACATGCATTCCGTATAATTATAATAGTAATTAATTATAATCATATAATAGCTATTTCTGCAGCTCCATTTTTGAAATAGCGTCTATACCTACCTACCTACCTACCTAATGTTAAAACAGTCTGCTCTTCGCCACGGCTACAACTCATTTGCGCACATTTACCTTTTTTACAACTCATTTGCGCACAAAAACATAACTCATTTGCGCACATTTTACGAACAATAGAAACCTTTTTTCCAAGAATTTTATCCACGTATAGGGTGTACATAATCTCCGTACCACCATATTTTCGATTTGGTCAATACTGATAGTGGACAATTATTATACTCAAACAACATTTTCCTTCACCCTTTAAAAGGCTTAGAACTTTCTGTCTCATCATATTCTGATGTTATAGACTGGCGGGCTTAAAAATGTTGTTTTAGCTATTACACATTATTCAAAATGTTGTCAAATTACAATAAATTAGGTACAATCATTTTTACAAGTCATTAAAATTTTGTCAAATTACAATAAATTAGGTACAATTATTTTTACAAGTCATTAAAATTTACAAATTACAATAAATTAGGTACAATCATTATTAATTTTTACAAAAGTCATTAAAATTTACAATCTACATAAATTACATAATATTTAATATTTATTGGTACGCGTTTGCATCAAATAGGTTATAAATCAATTTTTTTAGATTTGTAATCTGAATATATTTTTTTCAAAAAATTTTGTTTTGTTAATATTTCTGTCCTACGTGTGTTTTTCTTATTTTTTTTTAATGAGTTTATTTTTAAATTGGTGTCGACTTGAATTTCCATGAGTATTTGTATGATTTGGTGAATATGAGGGTGGGGGGTATAAAATTGGCTATTAAAGTGCATATGAAAGTTTTCAGCTCCGTTTGTTGTTCTAGGGCTATCGTCTGGTGCACTAGCCCATATTTCTGGCCCAAAATCAGCATCAAAATCAATATATTTTTTTAAAATATAGTCCGGAAAATCCATACTTATATTACTAGGAGCTATTGAGATTAGCTCCGTAAATGCGTCCGGAACTTCATCAGAGTTTAGATAAGGTAAACCAAAAAAATATTTAAGCCATCTTCCGATTTCCGAATCATTTTTTGAGTATTCTTTTAGTAATGTTTTATTTTTTTTTTTCAAACGCCTGAACCAACACGCTTGTCCCACATGACTAGTGTACTTGGCGAGTATTAATGCCATTTTTGATAGATAATAACTGATGTGAAATCACGTTATGCTTTAAGACTATACTCCATATAGATACTCCAATAACGGGTGATCATTGATATCAATAATATTGAACGTGTAACGTGTTGGACAGCTTAAGACACCCTGTAAACCCAAAACTGTACCTAAAAGCTGGTTTTCATTGTTTACTATTTTGTGCGCAAATGAGTTGTCGTAAATTTAAAAAATATATTAATATGTGCGCAAATGAGTCTCCACCTTCGCCACAGATAGGCTAAACTAAACCACACGAAAAAAGATAATGGTTGATGGACATATGATATAAAATATATACCTACTCATAACGGTTAATATAATGATGTCTTAAATTAGGTAGGTAGTCTAAAACTAAAGCTTAGTATTTAACGATGAATCCGTGGCGCTTCCACTTATAGTTGCCACTATTGCAGGCCCAGCAGTAGCGATATGCCTATATCTGATTTTATCCGCGATTCTGCGTTTTATTGACTTTGATTAATTGTTGTGATTATTGTATTTTTATAGTTGTTCTATAATATATTATACTTTATTTTTTTTTTTTAATGTTACCTATCGGCTATCACAGTATCTACTGTGTTCTCGATAGTAGTACCTTATGTCCTTACCTCTTACCTATAAAGTGTTGGACGATGTTTAAATACCTATAATATAATATTACATTTGTTTTTACAGTGGAAAACCCGCATGAAAACGCAATCAAACAAATAGTCGAAATGTTAAACGCCGGAGACTACGACGCAGGAGAGTTGTTTTCCGCGTTGCAGACCGAGCGAAACAACCGAAAAGACGTGTCGGAGATAATCGGGGACGTGTGGCCGGAAATTGTCACTGACAGAGCTCGCCACGGTTTTTGCGAAGCGCTTGTCCAAACCGACGTGAGGCCGCAAATAATTTGTGAAGATATATATTTACCCTGGGTGTGTACTTACTTATATAATATGTAGTGATTCCTTTTTATCTATATTAAATGTGCACATTGGCCATTGGTGTATTATAGCTATTTGTATACATGTGCATTATAAGAAGTTGTAATATTACAGCGACAACTACTGCAACGTCACCACGATCGGAAGTATAGCGATATTATTATTATTTTTTTTTCAGTTCAAAACACGCGAGTCGAATTTGACTGGGTTCGTCGAGAGTCTGTCCAAACTGATCGTCCACTTTTCGGAATACGCTTGCAAATCATTACTCGTCAAACTGCTGATAGACAAAGAATCGATTCTGGTTAAACATTTGAATTGGCTCGTGGACATCATGCAGTCCCTCGACCAACAACATTGGTGTATTCTTTTAAAGTAAATATTGATTTGAAATGTCTACCTGTAAAGGTTTTATTATGATTAGTATTGTACGATTATTGTACCTTTATTGATTTGTGCAGCGAATACTTAAATCACTGCGATGGCCTTGATCAGTATCAAATACCAGTTTTGTTGCACTTGGTGAACAATTGCCAGAAAAGTCTAAACAACGACGACGCCGAACGTCTGGTTGGGTTGTGCAGAAATTCGGCCCATGAACATTCTGCTAACAGAGACTTTGGCTTATTGCTAATGTCTGTGATCGGAGCTATCGATTTGAGCAAATTTCGATCAGAAATGACGACCATATGCGGGCAACTCAAAGGAGTTTCAAAGTTTATGATCATGAAAGCTCTAAAGGACACAAAATAAATCAGTATACCTATATTTGGTATATAATTTATTTTTACTGCCTTATACATTGTACTTAAATTAAAATGTTTTTATAATATTATTAAATAATTTATGTAATTTATTGTTTTGCGATTATATCCATAATCAGGTGTATGTGCAATGTGCATGTATAGCTTAGGTTGCAGCACTATAAAATTAGTATACCCGAGACATTTTGTTTATGGCTACAGAATATATTGTATAGCCTTCGAACGACAAACGATCAGGCCCACCTACAAATATATATATATATATTATGCCCGTAAAAAACTCCAACTCCATGTGATTCAAACATTGTTCAATTCGTTATTTAATATTTTTTGTACCTAATGGTGTTCAAAACATTTTCATCGACCATCTTGAATCTCAAAATACGTGTGCAAACACCACTTTAAAATGCGAATTTCGGATAATGGCTTTCTTAGTGCACCCATCCATTATAGTACGAACTACCTTTGTAGTTTGTAGTAAAAATATGAAAATAGTATGGTAAAATAAAATAAATAAAATAAAATGGTACCGTGAAAATTAGAAACATTTCTTGAGATTCCAAAAGCCCACGGCGATCAGATGAATAGTGTATAGGTAAATAAGAATGCATAAAGGATAAACAAATAAACAATCAAACAATTTTCCATACTAAATATCCAATTTTTTTTACTTTTCTCTAGAATTCAATACAATGTTTTTGCAAAAATGAATTCGTTCCGATAAGAAGTATAATATGAATTTACCTTTTGTGATATTTTTATTATATACCTCAACCTCATAATATTTCTGGTTATAATAATATTTATAATATATACAATATACCTAATTGGTTCCTGTTTGTCATTTTTATCGTATTTTATTTTATGATAAACTTAATCGGTCTTTCGTTTTCGTAAATTGCTTGACTATATAGTTATTCCGCGACAGTGGTTGAGTGTTTATGTGTTAAGTTATTTTATTTTTTATTTTTTAAGTTACTATATACTATTTTTAATTCTTTTATTTCTTGTAACTTACGTATAGATAATATGTATATCAGTTTATATATTATATATTATATGAATACGTATAGATAATATGTATATCAGTTTATATATTATATGAATACGTATGGGTGTGCTATTAGTGGCCCTCAAAGATTTTTTTTTATAAAATTGGTGGTCCGCACAACTAAAATGGTTGGGAACCGCGCTGCTATAGACTATAGTAACTATAGTTGACTGTTGAAGACAGTTGAAATTTGATGAATAATTTTTAAAAAAGTAATATTAATAAGGGCAAATGAGAGGGGCTTTTAGCCCGTCAGCCGCCTCCCCCCTGTGTACCCAACTGCTTAAAATGTACTTCTATTGTAATTGTCAACTCGATAACCTGGAATTCTCCTGGGCGGTTAGGAATTAGTACTTCGGATCGGTGGAGTACGATTGCGCGCGGTGCCGGAATAACAAATAATCATGCTTTTGACTATCCAAAAGGGTACGTTTGCGCGTGAAATTGGATGCAACGTTGCCAAATTATTTTTTAAATATAAAATAATTATTATTATAAAAACCTAACAAATTTTCGACTAGCCCAGTGATATCTTCTAAATTCAATTTTTTAGGTCAAAAAATTAAAAAAAAAAACAATAATAATTGGTACACGATTGGAAATCATCAATTTCGATACAAAACCACATTATGTACAAATAATAAAAAATAGTTATAATAAAATAATATTAAATATTCGAATAGATAAATAATATTTCGTTAAATCTATAACACAAAATAAAACAGATTCTTTATATTCTCACTCAGTCTACCTCATAAAGGAACATAGCAATTATTATAAATAAAAAAATATTCATTAAAAAAAATCGTTATAATAAAATAATATTAAATATTCGAATAGATATCGAAAAAAAAATAATCTGTGTATTTGGCAACGTTCCTTAGAAGTAAAAATAATTTAGCACTCGCAATCGTACGCCTAAAAAGGTACCGCTGATAAGGACCGCGAGCAATCGTATTGCAGCCACTTCGGATAGTAATAATTTGATTCTAAGACTTTGTTGAGTCATTGACTTGACAGTTTTTTAAGTACGTGTAACACTGTAACATAGTATGTGTCTATACTCTATAGTACGAATTTACAATACTAGACTACTGACTAATCCTGTTTAATACCTAATAGGCTTATTTACTATTTAATATTTACCATTATTAATTATAATATAGGTAAAGGCGTATGGCACCGGTATATTAACTATTTGAATACATTTTTATGACTTGGTGTAATAAGTGAATCACAGTCCCCAGTCCCCAGATATAGTTACCTATGTATGTGAATGTAGTCCAACCCGCTGCTAGATCGATACCCCGTGTCCCATAGGTGCAACTATATTTAGGGTCTATACATTTTGGGAGTCCTAAAAAAAATCAAAGCTTACAAATTACTTAATTTATTCATATATTGCTATATTTTCAATAATAATAACAATCAATAACTCAAATATAAGATTAATAATAAGTGACTATGTACGTCTATACTTACCTATCAGTTATCTATATATTAAAGAAATTCTCTTGTCTTCAGTTGCAATAATATCTTCATGGTTAAATCTTCAATATTTAACAGTGATAAGTTTGAAAAACTTTTTTTATGTGTCATGCTAGTTCGTAGCCAATTTCTTGTTCGTCGCATTGTACAAAATATATCAATACACTACCTAGCATAACAGTATAAATAGTAAGGCAGTAAGTACATTATTAATTTAGTTATTTGGGAAGGGGGTAATAAAATATATGATAGTAAGCCTAGACCCCCGTCAAAATGTAAGATGTACAATTAGAAACACTGTTTAACATAGCATCGATCACTCCTGTAAAATGTCCTGAAAAATTATTTAAAAATAACTATTATTGTACTGATATATAAGTTATTAAAAATTCATACTTCTAATCGTCGCATAGTCTGGCGATGTACACAAATCAGATGTCCTCTTAGAAACACCGTTCACCATATTATTATCAATTATTTTCATAGGCTGATCTAAAAAATTATTTAAAAATCTGTCGATGTACAAAAATTGTATAACACATTATATAATTTACTGTTTTAACTTACATCAGAAAATTCTATAATGTAAGTTCTAAATATCATTATTTTAATTTGTAATATGTTATTAGTAACTACCTAAATGGGTTTGTCGCAATTTTAAATTATAGTAAATCGTTCCCATTCTGCACTGTATACCGTGTACCATTTGGAGTCCGGACTTAGATACGCTATTCTACGCAGATACTTCCTCTTTTGATTTTGTTTTATTGCTTTAATTAATAATACAATCAGTACTATTCCTTGAAAAATAAATTAAAATGTTTTTGAAATGAAAATGTCTATACTTACATTTTTCTAAACTTATTTTTAAAATTTTTTTCTTATAATGCTTGAATATTTTCGAGAACTAAAAGTTAAAAGTTATGGATATGAATCGATACTTATGTTTGTAGTTAATACTAAATAGGTATACTGAACAAAATATTTGATTGAACTCTGTATTCATTTTTGAAGATTTAGGAACAGTTTCGTAAAATCTTAAATCTTATATAAATGCACTAAAATATTTCCCCACGTCACTTTTCTGATCCATTTAAATTTAAAACACTTATAAGTTACTTGCTTATAGCCCTCTTTACATCATGTACATTAGGCAGAAACTTCAACAACTTAGTATTTTTTTTTTTTTTGTTAAGTCGCATTTTTTGTCATGATATTCACGAATTTATATTATTATCTTATAGCCTATAGGTATCACACATGTTTAAAGCTGTATTCGCGTTTTACTGTTCCTTAGGAAGCCACCCTTAATGTATTTAAAATAAAATAAAATAATATTTGAGGTCTTATAGAAAATCAGCCCTCCCCCTTCAATTTTATATATCCACGCCTGTCACTAAGATATTATTTTGAATCCTATAAATAATATCTATATTAAGTATAATAGGTATTTATAAGTTATAATCAGTAAAATAATTAAATAAATATCAATTGAATGTTATGAAAAATATCTGTCAAACAATTTTTCTTACCAACGAACACTCCTATCAACCCACACGCTCTAATTAATTGTTGGATCCATATTACGTTCTGAAAAATGATTTAAAAATAACAATTTTTGCAAGTAGGTCTGATAACTATTAAAAAATGCATACGTTTAATCATCAAATAAGATGTCCACTTAAAAACACCGTTCACCATATTATCAATTATTTTGACGGACTGATCTAAAAAATTATTTAAAAATAACTGTAACCTATTGTACCTATAGGTTAGGTTACTGGTCAGTATACTGATAATTATTAAAACATACTTTTGATCGTCGCATAGTCTGTCGATGTACACAAATAAGATGTCCACTTAGAAACCCCGTTCACCATATTATTATAAATTATTTTCATAGGCTGATCTAAAATTTTTTTTTAAATTCTGGCGATTTACACAAATTGTATAACACATTATATAATTTACTGTTGTAACTTACAACAAAAAGTTCTATAATGTTAGTTCTAAATATCATTATTTTAATTTGTAATGTTATTAGTAGGTAACTACCTAAATGGGTTTGTCGCTACGATAGTTGACATGTCACAATATTTTTCATGATTAATCTGAACGAAATAACAAATTGTAAAAAGCAAAAGACAAAAGTTTTAACTTAAAGTTGACCTGTCTGCAACTAAAAACCTATATACCTACTATAATAATTAAAAACATTACAAATCAAAATAATGTTACTTACATAATACTGCTGATGGTCTATTGACAAAGGCCAACTTAACAAAATCGCCTCATGGCGTCTATAATGATACGATGAACTCAACAGCTGGTAAATTCAATACAATACAGCTATTGAGTTAGATAATTGTACTATTATCGACGTCATGAGGCGACTTTGTTAAGTTGGCCTTTGTCAATAGACCATCAGCAGTATTTTACTTGTTTTATGATCTCCTTACCAGTATTCTGTGGTGTAACTGAACTTTTATCGATTATGGATTTTTGATCAAACGATTCATTTTGAATGCCGAACAACTTTTTAATCAATAAATGAAAAAATGAAATTATAGATTCCAACGGCATTATTGTTGTGTCAACAGAAACGAAAACAAAATTTGTATTTTCTTCTCGTTTTTTATGTTTCAAAACAAACCCATCCGTTAACCCATGAAAACAAAACAAACCTATAAATAACACATATTATTCATAATGAATATTCATAATATAGAAAAGCTTCAAAATGAACAATTTTATATATCAAAATGATATTGTAATTACCTATTACAGATTAGTTAGGGCAAAATGTGTAGTTAATTATAATTTTAACTCTATAATTTCTACGTCAATATATTTAATTAAATGATTAATTAACCCCAAATAGGTTGATTATTATGTTCAAAACATTTTAAGGTGAATAAAAGATAATATTATGGTTACATATATTTGTCGTTGTCGTCCTAAAGGAATATTTGCCCATTCCAGTAGTTTAAAGTAGGTATTTCAATTTTAAACATAGCATCACGAGAACTGTGAATAAATCCTATTATATAATTGAAAATAAATAATAATTGAGATAAATATTAATAATAACCCATTAAATTATATAGTCCAAAGCTTATACAAACATAAAATATAAAAAACAAATACCATTATAGTGTTATATTTATTTGAAAAATTAAATGGCCTTGTTTCTTTCACTTAACTGTGGAGTTCCTACTGCCCAATGTGCACGCTACCTTGGAGTCAACATTGACCGTCGACTTACCTGGTCAGCTCACATTAAAAGTAAAACTCGAGCACTGAACGATCGTTTTCGTCTTCTCCGGCTGTTCCTAACTTCTAAAAATATTAAACTACCTACTAAATTACTGCTGTATAAATTACTACTCAGACCCATCTGGTCCTACGGTTTGCAGCTATGGGGCTCAGCCAAAGTATCAAATACAAACCGTATACGAAGGTTTCAATCCAAAGTCCTTCGAGTCATCTCTTCTATGTTTTAAATAATATCCTTCATAGTTCATTCTGACCTCAATTTACCCACCGTCACTGAACTAGCCGAGCTTTACTATAAACGATTCAATAACAAGCTAAATCATCATTCTAATCCCTTTATTGCCCAACTATCATCTGCAACTATTCCAGTAAACCCCCACAAAAAACAAAAACGAAAATGATGTCGTGACCTGCTTATATAATATTTAAAAAAAAAAATGTATCACTACAACAGTTGTCATAGTTACTATGATTTTTGTTACTTATAAGTTATAAGTTATTCATTGTACTATCACTATTATTAACATTATCCTAGGATTAAAACCTTAAATTTATATTCATGTTGAAGTACCTCCGATGGGAGGCCTCTTCCTTCAGTCTCTTCTGTATGTTTTTGTTCTATTATCACTTAAGCTTATTGTTCTAATTGCAACGGATAGCGTAATAAACAATTTTGTATAAAAAAAAAAAAACCTGGAGTGTCGTATCGATGCGCTTTAACATTCCTTATATAGTTATTACTAGTTACCTACTTATTAAGTTACGAACCATTAAAATCTAAACAGTATAATTTATAAGAAATAAATAATAATTATTATAATTATTAATAATAGCGAAGAGTGAAGATTTCCTTTAAATCTTTATAATTATATTGCCTACTTTGAAAAATAATAAGCCACATTGGATTCAACCCCTCCCCCCTTGTTCGTATTTTTTGTGCTCTGATAGCCCCCTACATATGTTTCTAGAAATTATCCACAACCCCCTCCTCCCATTGAAAATTCCTGAGAACGACACTGTACTTAATAAGCCACGTAGTTTACTATAAATAATAAGTATTAGTATACCTACATATGATTTTACTTACCGAGAAGAACAAGTGAAATTCTGTTTACAGCAATAGTGTTCATTGTTCGATGGATACTGTAAGAGCGTGTAGACTGTGTAGACTGTATAAAAACAAAATTCGAATAAATAAGGTTTAATATTTAGTTTGCAAAACGGTCGTTATGGGAATAAAATATATCCAATAGGTATCCTCCAAATAATATATTATGTTATTTATTCGGGAAAAATACTAAATAGTAAGTACTTATATAATATTTCAATTGGTACGATGTTTAATGATTTTATAATGAAGTATACGCGCTTACTCGCTGCAGTGATCTTGGTCAAAACTGCGTCTGTTGAGATCCTATCAATATTTTTGAACGGCTGTCGGTGGTAGATACTTAATATAGTTAAAATATTGGAATTTTGTGACTCTAAATTATTCCTAAATTCCTTATTGACTTGTCTCACTAAAAACTATCAAAACCGAAATTAATTAAATAGGTACCTACTACCTACTATACACGTCTACACTTGATATTTTACTATTCCTCTTATTGAGACATGGGTCGTACTGAGGCGCAAAAAAGAGCTCGGTGACAGTTAATGTCATATTGTCATCGACAGATTTGAAAGGTCTAAATAAGATCCAAACTGATCGTCCACTTTTAGGAATACAGATACAATACAACAACAATTTTCTGTGTAACTACATATATATTAATGTACATATTACCACTTACATATTTTGTAAATTAGTCGGGCTCAATTTTTTTGTTCACAATTTCTTTTTAGGACGATGTCTGACGATTCGGAGAGCTGCAGTAAAGTCTTGCCGATTTACACGGAAAACGTCTTGTCGATTTTAGGTGATTTGAATTTATTATTGTTAATATTGTAAAACATAAATATTCGGTCTTGTGGATAAATTATATTTACTATAAAATTGCAAACCAATATATACATTTCTAGAACAAATCTATAAATGTTATATGATCTGAAATATTACATAAAACAATAAACATTTTTGGTGAGCACAACATGCACGTTTTAGTTCGATGGACACGTTAAATTAATTAAATATAATAATAATTAAATAATTATTTACAATAATCTAATATTATATAACTTGCATTATATAGTATGATAGTATCATTATACATTTTACCATAATATTTTATTTTACTATTAAAATTATTAATTATTAATTAGCAAATTTAAATATTAATATTTTTTTTATACTGAAAATGTACTTAAGATTTATTATGAACCAGTGGCTTATATTGGGGTGGGCCTAGTAGGCTGCAGCCCCCCCCCCCGAAATTACAGTCTTTTAAAATAGAACAACAATATATTTTTTTAGGTACTATCATAACTCACTCATAAGTTATAATATTTCATAGCCTGTTGAAAAATAACAAATACGAATATATTTATAGAAACTGTTAAATATATAGTAGACAGTAGCCTCTAAGTAATAAATCACTTGCTGGTTTCTATCTGCTATAGCCCACCCCCAAAATTATTACTTTGTACGCCACTGTTATGAATCTGTTTTGTACCTTATGAATTTACTAAATATTATTATTTACAAAATAATTATTAAATTTTAAATTTGATACATTTTGTCGAAATTCGAACTTTAAATGCTTATAAAAAAAAAATTGTGCCTATGTATTTTTAATATTTTTCAACTGCTATTGTAACAATATATCAGGAGCCTTGCATTACATTTTCACGCTAATCATGCTAATACAAACATTCAGTGAAATTTTCAAGTATCTACAGTCATTCATTTTTTAATTACAACAAAATAAGATAATCGTTACATGAGAAATCGAGTGACAGTCAAATGTTGTAAAAATATGAATTTAAAACGCTCATAAAAATTTAATTTGACTTTCTTGTTGATATTTTTTTTTTGAAGTTATACTTCTTTACGCACGGTAGTGAGGAAAAAAAAAAAGCGAACGGGCGGCGTGTACGAACGGGCGGCGCGTACGAACGGGCGGCCGTACGAACGCGAAAGCGTACATGTCCGTAAATAAATAAATATTGTCATGGTAATGTTGTTTTATTATATATTATAATATATATATATATATCTGTATATATAAAACAGTAAGCTTGATTGACTGCTATCAACGCACAGCTCAAACCATTGGACGGATCTGGCTGAAATTTAGCATACCGATAGCTATTATGATGTAGACGTGCGCTAAGAAAGAATTTTTCGAAATTCGCATTTTAAATAGGTGCTCAAACAGGGACATTGAGATTCAAGATGGAAATTGGAAATTTTATTTTAATTAATTAATAGTTGCCATTGGTTACAGTCTACATTAGAAATTATCATTTATTTATTGGTTGCCATTGGTTATTCGAGCAGATCAGGTACAAGCTTGCATCAAATCAAATTATTGAACATTGCTTACCAGGGTGGCTGAGCTGCACTTACCCCAGCAAGTTACACCCAAAAGGAGTTCAACAATCATAATTTTTTTAAGAGTTGTAATTTTTTTCGAGCAACCAAATTTTTTTTTAATATTTTTTATTTTTATTATTATTATTAGTATTCACTCACAAATCTATTGTCTGGATAAAAACAATACTACAAACAATTATCCATCGATCTGTCGAATAAAAATATAAAAAAAATAATAAAACTATCAATAATAAATAATTCCGGATACTTCTTCTCATTTTTTAAACTAATTAATATTTTTTCCTTCTTTTTCACTCACTCACGTGTACCATTCAAAAGAAGTTTAACTTCCCGCGCGCGTACTGGTAACACACATGGTTTTTTTTAATATTATTACTCAATATACCTACTTTATGTATACCTACTTTATTTCCTCATAACTAAAATACTAATGACAACATATATATTTTATCTAATTACTAATTTTCGTACACAAAAAATGAACTAAATACCAGTATTGCGTATGTTATTATGTACAGCTTACAGCTTACAGTTCACGCCTTACACATAGCGCATTGTGTACCTAATACCTATGTCCTATAGGTATTGATAATTGATATATTGTATACCTAGGTCATTTTCCAAACGTATAATACAATGTCTGTGCTCAAATATTGCACAGGTTGGTGCAAAATGTATAATATAGTTTGCCTTCTGCAGTGGCGCCCAAGATATATTTTTTAGGTGTAGCAAGAAAAAATTTTACCCACCCAGTCAAAACTCAAAATTATATTATTTAATACATTTTATCATATATGTATTGATAATATTAGTAAATATTAAGGTATCAACCAATATAATCTGTGATTAATTATGAACATATTTCAAGTTTATTATTTTTTGTTATTATACCCATCCACCCCTTATTTTCAAGGTGTAGCGACCGCTACACTTAGAAATAGGGTTGGGCGCCACTGGCCTTCTGTACGTATCGTATATTACATTGCCACTCCTATAGGTTAGGTTAGGTTTGTAGTGCAACCGCGTTTCATCAAGCGAACATCGGTCGCCACATTTCGCCATTTCTGTTTGACTCATGAGTCATATACTCATATGTGATGACAAACTCTATAGAAATTTGTTCTTAGTATTAAAAGAGTTGTGGTGTATATTAGAAGCAGAAGGATGAATATCGATGTTATATTATCTTTTAACATGTGAGTCATGTGACAATAGATAAACATTGCATGTTTTATAATACGCAATATTATTGTCTCGTGTTGAATGGTAGTAAACATGCGCACTGCGTACTGCGCACTTTACAATTATCTATAGAAGTGAGTGTCGAATACAAACTGTAGACTGTAGTATAGAATTCGGTGTGCACAGTAGTATAGTTGCGCTTGCCGGCTGCGGTCAGCGGTTGTCGCGGACGCTTCACAGACGTTGGCGCCGTTGCCTTCTAACTTTTTTTTGTTTCGTCGGCTCCTCGGTACATCTATTGTTCCATACCTTGTGGTATTACCTATCTATAAATACAATATAATAATAAACTAAAAAGTCTATAATTAATAATATTCGGTTGAATTGATTCGCGTAGTGGTCTGTTTGCGGATCGACACTTGGACAGGTAGGTACCTAAATTATAAAGTGACTATACTATACGCTATTTGATAGTTTTATTATAATTCTGTAAATTTGGGTGCGGGCTACATTTTTTTCACTTACTGATTCTAGGACACGATGTCTGAGAATCCTGAGAGCAGCAGTAAAGCTTTGAAGATCAACAAGGAAAATGTTTACAAGATATTTGGTAATTTAATTTAATGTCCGGTGTATCCTCGAATTGTATCCCTGGTTGTTACAAATCTTAAATTACCTTCATCCCACGGATGGTCAGAGCTTTATTAATCATGTCCATATAGCCCTAGGTAGTAGGCACACATTTTTAAATAGCTAGGTATACGATCGTATAGCAATATTCCAATATAGGTACAACTTTTATAAAAGTACTAGCAATAATCTTGGAAAAAAATTAATGAACTATGGTCTATGTAGTAGGATATTAGGAAAAAAAGTCCCCGGAAAAAAAGTCTCGGAAAAAAGTCCCAAGGAAAAAAAGTCTCCAAATTAATATTTGATTTAAATTCATTATCATATAGGTATTTATATAGGTACATAGCCCATAGGTAATACATGTTACATATTTTATTGAACATAATTAACAAACAACTAAATTAAATAGGTACCTTACAATATGTCCTATAATATTATTTAAAAAATATAAAAATGTATTTATTTAGATATGTTCCCCTCGTAAAATAATTAAAAATTGAATACAATATGTCCTATAATATTATTTAAAAAATATAAAAGTGTAATTATTCAGATATAAAAGATCTCTTTCTTATATTTTGACCTATTTACTTTAAAAAATTAGGAATATCTGCAGATTTGTCTTCATCAAAACGTTGACATAAAATGTTCAATCGAACTTCATTTTTTTTCAAGACTTTATTTTCAATGAATTTAAAATGTACATAATTATCTATATAAATACTTATCTACAATAATTTTTAATCCTAGAAAGGTACCTATTTAATTTAGTTGTTTGTTAATTATGTTCAATAAAATATGTAACATGTATTAGGTGCCTATGGGCTATGTACCTATATAAATACCTATATGATAAAAGACTGAATTTAAATCAAATATTAATTTGGAGACTTTTTTTCCCGTGGGACTTTCTTACCGGAGACTTTTTTACCGGGGACTTTTTTTCCGAGACTTTTTTTCCGGGGACTTTTTTTCCGTTTACCATGTAGTAGGTAAGTGTGAATTTTTATATTCACCCAATATAGAACTCGTATAATAATCTGTTGTTAGTCGTGCTGTAGTCGAAACAAACAACACTTAAGTATTTAATTAGTATATTGTTTGATTAAAAATATATTTTCGTATCTAGATATTTAAAACTGAACATTTTTTTATCAAAATATTAAACATTTAGACATTTATTATCCTATTGACAATAATTTATATCCACATTTTAATAAAAATTATTTCGGGCATTAGTTCGTGACGTCCCCCCGTACCCAAAAACAAAATAGTTGGGGTACCCAAAAACAAAATTAAAATAGTAAGGAGGTTTACTCACCAATTTTTCGGAGAAGTTAAAATCAAAAAATCAAAAATGTGGGAAAGTCGATTTCAAGTAGACTTAACGAAAAATTCAAAGCTGTTTTTAGAATTCTTATCGTTTCATTAGATCAATTGTTATGTTTGGCAAAAAATAAGTCTAAAATTCTATGTCGCGCGTGTTAGACAAAAACAGAAAATCACGGTATCGAATCCCCTTAATACTACCATACTATGATTATTATTATATCACCATACTATCATTATTGTAGTTATATTGGTAATTATCAATTATAATAGTTTTTATACATTTGTTTACTAAATTGTTTCATTTTTACATTTTAGAATGTAATGAATTGGTCGTAATTATATTCTGTTCTTGTTACTACCAACTAACATGTATACACAAATCCACTTTCGAAGAAGTTTCTGTAAAAGTTTCTGAACTTTATCCAGATCCTGGGAAAGTTGTTGTTGGAACATCATACCCTTATGAGACATGTAAGTATAAAACACATTATTTAACTATTTATTTAGAATAGGACATGTCTTATTGGGAACAAAGTGCAGTTATAAATTAAATAAGGAAGATGCATAAAAACAAGGTGCTGATTCGGTATGCGCTCTACCAACAAGTTTCTGTTTCAGTATGCGCTCTACCAACAAGTGCTGATTCGGTATGCGCTCTACTGAAAAGTGTCTGAGTCGGTATATTTATATTTTTTAATATTATTTTATTGATAAATGTTTACAGACAAGTGTCCGAGTCGGTTATTTTACATTTTATTATTGATTCTTTATAGACAAGTGTCTGAGTCTGTATGATCTACAGTCGTCATACGTCGTTTTGACTGAGATTTATTTTATATTCATTCAAAAACGATTATTCACGATCTGAATGCCTTCTAACATGGCGAGAAAAAGGTCCGGACTGTCTTGACGGTAAAGTCGCCAGCAATAGTGATTAAGATGGGACTGCAAATGATTAAGAGGAACACCCCTCATTTTCTTCAATAATGTAACTTTCGCGTCCAACCATGACCTCTCAATGTTTTGAGTGTGGGCTCCTGTATTTGCATCGACATATGAGATTTGGTGATTTACCGTCTTGTGTACAAAACCTCGGCTTGTAAGACATCTATATGCAGCCCATTCATCAGAATGAATTTCTGATCCTGCCTCGCATTCACGTTCAATTATTGGTAGGAGTGTTTCTCGATCGCGTCGATGTACATAAAAATAACGGCAATCATTTCCATTTTTTAAACCAAATACCCATGGGCAATCTACCCTTGCACCGTGATTTCGGTTATTAATTACTTCAGCATTTATATCTGTCAAGGCGGGAGGAGCGTCACCAGCTAATAATCTACCCCTATTATACTTCCTTCGACCAGCGAAACGAGCTTCGTCAATCTGAATTGGATTTTGTACATTTCCAACCATTTTTCCTTTAGTCTTCAAAATAGCTGTTCATACTTCTCGGCACATGTTAAACCAGTCGGTGACACACTCATTACTTCTTCCTGTTCGATCCATTACCATTTGTGTGGGTAATTCCAATACAAACATAAATACAAGTTCAATAATTTGACAAAGTGTTAACCCACTGTTGCAACGTTGGTTCAAGTCAGTAAAATGAAAAAAGCTGCTACCAGCTCGTGGTGATCTTGTTGTCTGACAGCCTTTTTTTGGACACCGAAAAATCGACATCCACTCTCCATTACGGCATTTCCGTCGTTTTACCTGCATTTCTGTGCCACATTTATGACAAGGATCGTTGTCTTCGGCACTTTTCAACAATCCTTTTGCTACTAAAAACCGATGACACTCAATCTCATTTGGAACTACTGTAGTATAAAACTCACGAAACGTCATCACAGCCATTACAATTTATAAATAATACACGAAATACTAAAAATATTTAAAAAAAAAATATATTATATTCGTAACGAACAACCTTCGTGAGCGTTGTGTGACGACTGTAATAAAAGTAAAACCAACAGTAATACAATTTAAGGTACCTAAAGATAATTAGAGATTATCGTTATTATTAACAGTTGAAATACCCAACATATTATATAAAACCGAGGCAGATAACTCATATTATACAGTAATTGCAGTCCAATATCCGCGTACCGAACGTAGACCGAGTGTAGAACACAAAAACCGGTAGAGCGCACACCGAATTAGCACCAAAAACAATAACAACATTTAAAAACAATAACAAGTTCAATATGGTTTCCAAGCAGAAAAAAAAATCAATCAAGGGGAACAAGTGCCGCTTTGCTGTACAGTTTATTTTTATATTATAATCATGTATCGACTTTAATAAGTTTATAACTACCAAAGAATTATTTAAAAATATATAACTCGTTATCGAGATATGAGTATCTGTTATTCAGCTTAAATAATTATAAAAATAATTTGTTAAGTTGTATATTAACAAATAACATTTAAATTTTTTAGGGACTGAATATTATAGTACCTCAGAGCAGTATAATCACCCTTTTCATAGCAAACCAAATGTAAGATTTTTTATAAATGGGAAGCTAGCTACAAAAAGTTTTATCAGTGACATAACAGTTTCAAACATAGTATCTTATATTCAAAAACTACTAGATAATTCTATACAAGAAATATCTAGTGCATTATGCATTCCTAATAAACCTACCAATGTAAGTTGATTCGTTTTTTTCTAAAATTGTATTCATTGTGTTTACATTTGTGAGTTATTTATTATATATTGATCAAGGCCTACGAGAAATTTATGATTGGATACTTCAAAAATAAAAATTCACAAGCTTATCAAATATTTAAGAAATTGTCAATGGTTTTTATGGGTGATTTTCAGTTCTATGCCGGATTTGGGTAAACGACGATTTTTAGTTTTTCGTAGTTAGTAACTATTAACATATACCTATATATTTTTGTTAACAGAGAAGAATTTTGTACTATGTACTCTGATAACCAGAACAAATCATTAATCATATTCAAGATCTCCAACCAACCATCTCCAGAATTTGAACAAGAAATATTTAGTGACGATTCATCAGATTACGAATCACTTTATGATTGGGGAGAAAAACATTCTTTATATTCAACGAGTGAAATTACATTTGATAATGCCGAAGAGATGCTAAAAGATCGTCCACTATCTCTTATTCTGTTTTATAATCCAGACGATCTCAAACCCGTTAAACGGTTCAAGGATAATATTAAAAGGGTTTTAAAAGAATATTGCATTGGTGTTCATAGTATGTTCTATACTGATGAAATAGGATGTTGATAAGTATACAGTTACCGTAAAAATTTGTTTTATTATTGTTTCAGATCGAATTAATTTCCTGACAGCGAATGGTGCACAATTTTCTAAAAATTTACTAGAAATTGAAAAATCTCAAACTGATTTACCATTTCTACTTTTTTTTCGTTATGATACAATCTATCGGTTTCCAGAAAATTATGATGTCACAACCTTGGTGTCTTACCAGCAACTGAAAACATTATTAAAAGATTTGTTTTCAAGTAATAGATATTACGGTCGTTATGATAGGTACGAACGTCAAGATAAAAGTGGCTCTATACACCCTGCCTACCGATTTAATTTATTTTGTAAATTTTCAAGCAAACCAGAGAAAATCGATCGAAATTATATTCCAGACTCTATAGAAAATTATTTTAGTGTTAGTCTATTTGATGAGTAAAATTGAACTGTGTGTAAGATATCTATAAAAAAATGTTAACACAATATGAAAATGTAATTATGTGGGCCCATATTTTATGTACAAAACAAAATCATGAAATATATATTATACAGTAACAGATCTATAAATGTATAAAACAAAACTTTCATTGCTTGTTTATTATTTATAAATTATTATTTGTATGATTTATGTATAATTTTTTTATAATTATCATTAATCCCCAAATGTATATTAAAAAAAAAACTTTTTTAAATACAATGTATAAAAATAATTAAAATATTATTTTGTTTGAGATAATTTTAAGTTATAGATTGTTAAAATTTAAATTTAAATTAAACGGTCAGCTCGCTACCATACCGACGCGATGTCGTCGTAGCTAACAGCCCAACCGCCATATCTCGTAGGAGTTATGTCGGCGCCAACAATGATATACTAATAAGCCTATTCTTAGTTTTTTAACATTCGTTTGTATTAGTTTGCGTCGTGTTGTGTTAAGTGTTTGAGGATCGACATTTTGAAAGGTAGATTTTAGCCTTTGAGGAGCAAGCAGCAGCCTTGGTATACTTAAATGCAACTCATTGAGCAGCTAAGGAATGAAAAATAGGAAAAAGAATTATGAGCTAAGACGTATTATTTTAATAGGAGTGATGAATGAAAATAAATCGATTGATTGAAATTAAACTTCACAGATGGCAACACATATTTTATATAGGGTATTTTACGGTAATGAAACATTATAAACAAAGAATTTAAAAGGAATTCGCGGTAAAAACGAATATATACGTCCGGGAGTTTGTAATTTGCACCAAAATAAGGATATGTTATTTGCACCATCCTCAGGTAGTAAGAAATAAGATTAGTAATTTGCACCAAAATTAAAGTCGATTATTTTTTCTATAGTACCTATCTCGATAGTACCAACTTACAAGTTTCTATATGTTAATATAAATTTAGCTTAGTTTTTATTTATAAAATAGCTGAGCTTATACGCATATTGTTGTAAGTTTATATAAAATCGTATTATTATAAATATAACCAAATTTTAATTGGCTAACTTTTTTTATATATACATATTAATACGTATATTACTACGTCCATGCTCTTTTTGACCGTTTATTTTAAAAACGTATATATACGTCAATGCTCCTCAAAGGGCTGTAGCTACTATACTATACGCTGTTTTATAGTTTTATAATTCTGTAAATTTGGGTTTTGCTACTTTTTTTTCACTTATTGGTTCTAGGACATCATGTCTGAGAATCCGGAGAGCAGCAGTAAAGTCTTGCAGATCAACACGGAAAATGTTTACAAGATATTTGGTACCTAATTTAATCCAATATCAGGTGTATCCGGATTGGTTCCCTGGTTGTTACAAACGGTATAATACCTACCTACATTGGAGTACATCCCACAGATAATCAGGGCTGGTTTATGCTTGACCATATCGTTAGGCACAAATTTTTAAATAAATTGGCGTACCTATAACTATATACAACTTGTATACAAGCACTAGAAATAGCTAATAAAAATTTGGGTAAAAATTAATGAACTATGTTAGTGAGTGTGGATTTGTATCAAGGCCTGCTTGGTAAATATCGGGGCTATGGGTGAACTGTTTTTTGCGGGGCCTATTTAGGGTTGTTACTTGTTATATGATTAAAAATGAATGTATAAAACATGAATTAAAACATGCGATATCCATGTCATAAACGTTTTTTTTAGGTCCATTTCAATGCCCCCCCCACTTTCGAAATTTGAATTTCTGACCACGCCAAACGTTTGTGCAGAAATGTGCACCAGTTCCCGACGTTTGTGCACAAAAACTGAAAGCTCTATCCCAAAAACAAAATGGGGGGGCCATTGAAACGGTAGCCCCCCCCACATTGAATATTTGGATTTTTGAAGGTGCCAAACGTTTGTGCAGAAATGTGTACCAGTTCCCGACGTTTGTGCACAAAATCTCCCAGCGCTATCCAAAAAAAAGTGGGGGAGCCATTGAAACGAGACACTCCCTTTTTGGAAAATTAAAATTTTTAAAGGGATAATATATAAGATCGATACGTGATACTTTTTTAGAACATGATTTGATCTCGAGACTTGGCTGCGTTGAATCTTAAAGACTTTTTTTTTCTTAATTGTATAAACCTATTAGGTCCCTAAATTACATTTATTATTTTATAAAAAATATTTCAAATTTCAAAAAAGGGTGTCTCTCGTTTCAATAGCCCCCCACATCGTTTTTAATATTTTTAATATCACAAAAATATTGAGTTATAATGCCACAAGTGTAGAACAAATTGAAAATGTACCCCTACTACAGATTTTGTACTGTTACTCAAATAAACATTATTATTTATATGTAATATTATACCCACTCAGGCACTCAGCACTCAATATTTTATAATTGACAAGAAAACATACATTTGCACCACTAAACATATTATCTTTATTGAATTACTGTTAGAAGCAATCATAATAAAATAAACAGTGAGTTTATAGTTTAAGTTAAATTTATTAATAAATATTAAAAATATTATCGATTTCTTGTGTTAAATTAACAAAATTGTTTTAATACTATATTAATTAAACAAACAAATCTTAATTCTTTCAGTAGGTACACACTATAATATATTAATAACAATCAGGCACAGAATTAGAACTTTTTTGCCGGGTGTTCTGAGACATTCAGATACATTTTGTTCACGAACAATGCCACAACAGACTGTTTTTTTTCATAAGCTACAGTGATTACTTAGATAAATAATTTAATTAAGATCAAGAACTTGTAGCACACTTTATTTTTTTAAAACACTCAGTATTTTTTTTTTTCATACTATAAGAAATTATTATTCCTTATACTATGGTTTTAATTTTATATTCTAAGTTCTAAATGGATATTATATAATATTATGAACGTTTGATTATTTAACAATAATACTACCTATATGGCTATATAAGGTTTAATCCTATATAGGTTTTCATGTAAATGAGGAAATATTTTAACACAGAGTTTAAACAACTACATTACCTAACAATGAAGTACGAATTTGACAATTTTATTTTAAATATTATTATACTGTTAATGTAAATTTTGAAAACAATTAACAAATAAGTAATAACAATGGTTGTGATTTATTTTATTGAATTTCAAATTAACTCTATGCACAAATAATTTATCCAAAAGGTCTTATTTGTTGACTATAATAAACAAAAAAAAACAAATAAATAAATATAAGTTTTGTTAATATATTATAACTTATAAGTATAACATAAGTACATAACTTTATCCATATATACACTATAATATTATATTATATTCTGTATTCTAGAACACAGTAGTTAAATTATTATTTAAATCTATTAGAATGTTAGTTTAACAGTTAATAGAATACCTAGCCTAACCTAACCTAACCTTTTTATAGAAAAAATACTTTTTAAGAATATTCAAATACAGATACCTGTTTTGAAAATATGTAAAAAACGAGTATTTAAATAATTAAAAATTATTTGAATAGTTTTGCTCAAGTACCTAGGTACCTAGTTTATGAGATCTTATCATAGCTGATCTGAGTTCCAAAAATTAACTTTAGATTTAAAGTTTTTTTTTTTTAAATAACACTTGAATCATAACTTCTTCAAAATTAGTCGCATCGACTTGAAGTCTTCAGCCTCGAGATCAAATTTATGTTCTCAAAAAAGTATCGAGTATCGATCTTATGATTGACAAAACTACAAAAGAAAATTTCCAGCTAAATTTATTTTTGAATAATTCAAATTTTGAACACATTTTTGACCCAACCAATTATACCAACATCCCCTACTAATTATACTAATATCGATACCAATATAAAAATTAATTTATGTATTCTATGAAAAATATTTATTCCCATATTCAAATATTATTGTATAATTCAAAAAACTTTCAAATCAACATTTTTGAAAAATAAAAACTGATCCCACTTCAGAATACCACCGAGATAAATTCTCAGTTAGTTTAGGATAGGTTAACCCAGGAATATTTAAAACATAATATTATAATACAATATTTAAATATAATATATTATTAACCTACTTCCCTACTATTTTTAGACGTTTACACGGCAATGGTAAAATTGTATTAAACCTATTAGGTACCTAAATTAAATTTATTAATATGAAAAATATTTAAAATTTCAAAAAGGGGGTTGTCTCGTATCAATGGCCCTCACTTTGTTTTTTAGATAGTACTGGGAGTTTTGTGCACAAACGTCGGGACCTGGTACAAATTTCTGCACAAACGATGCACAGTGTTGAAACAGTCCTGTTCCATTCACCAGATTATATTATCTTTGTAGTATCTAATGATTACATCGCTTTATTATCTCAGTAACTTGGGGTACGATTTTGTGAATTGAATTGGTTATTGAAATGCTTATCTTTTGGATTACTTGTTTTGCCAGGTGGATTGGCAAATTCAGAGATAACAATGTTAGTAGAACACTAGAACGTTATGATTGTTACATGCTGAACTTTCTGAGTTGCTTAGATTGTTTAGTTTGGGCTACAGTCTTATTGGTATATTTTACATTTACATTCGCCCATGCTTTAATAGAAACTTTTTTATTTACAATATTTGAGGATTTACTGGATAATAATATTTTACCATATATATTCTATCTACAACACATTTTTAACATGATTTGAATCATCTACGTCACTTATAGTGGGTCATTGAAAAGGTTTGTAATATTTTTGAAACAACTAAACTATTAGAACGTAATATAGGTACCTACTCAGTTTTCTTTTAATGCAATACGTTAATTTTAATGATTAATATATGAAATATATTCAGTAGGTACTAGACTTTTTTTTGTACTACCTACTTTATAAAGTGTAGGTATTTATATCTGTTATATATACCTACCTATACTTTTTCATATCATTACAATATTATGTCTAATTTCAATTCAAATACAATTTTGAAAATATTATTCATTATATTATATGTTTATTTATATTTA